ATACCTCACAATTTTATTCTCTATAGTATCGTCAAACTTAGAAAAAGAATAACCTCTTATCTCGGGATAACCGATAATATTGTTTTCTGACTTCTCTAAGATCAAAGAGTCAACAAAAGTCTATGCAGTCAACTATTTCGAAAGAGAACCTCTTTAGCATTAATTATTTAATAGTATTCAACTTTGAAATTCATACATATTTTTAGCTAAGATTATAATAAGTTTCTAGTTTTTGTTACGCCTTACAACCGAGGCCCTAGATGAAGTATATGTGGCATCCCACGTGGAGCTTAATAAAGGACGAAGCCCTATGGCCTACAACCAATGTCATCGATGTTTTACAAAAGGAAAGTAAAATGAAGCTCATGTTTAAGCAGAAGCTCTATTGACCGAAGCTCACTTTGGAAGCCCATTACCAAATTGAAGTGGAGAAAAGAAGATAAAAGTTTTGTTCCAAAGCTCTCATTTGTCGAAGCCCTTCCCACCAAAGCCCTTTGTACAAAAGCGGCAGCAACGATGATGCTCAATCCGGAGCCCACATTTGAAATGGTGCCCACCTGCTTCAAAAGATCTCCTATAGATAAAATCTTATTCAAATTATTGATTTGACTTTTCTAACTAGAGATATGTCAAATCTTGTCAATTTAGGTTGTAGGGTGATTACCTTTTTAAGTGCATTAAATGCGTCACGGGATAGTGAAGTTAGATTGATGCCTATAACAAGACCCTTTAGCTAAATAGATGAAGCCACATGCTTCATCATTCAATAGGCACCACTTCATTTGTAATACTATAAATACTCACTCTTGTATCATTAGAAGACTAATGCAACTATATGTAACTTGAGGCTATATTTCATCTTCTATCTTGCTCTATCACTCTTAGATTGTTTGAGTTGAATGTTTAGCGGGCAGTTTTTATTATTCTTTATTATACAATCTTGTTCATATATATTGCTAGCATCCGAACATTTTTGTTTCACATCATAGAGCTCCTACCACGCCCAAATCGAAACATCCTATTGACTAGTGACCTGTCCAAGCATGTTGAAATTAGCTTGCGTGGAAGCGAGTAGACTCGATATTTGTTATCCATGTATGCGTGCAAAAAATGAGGTCGACAGTTTTTATTCATATGTGCCTGAATAGAAAGATGTTTGAAATTGTAGCTCTTTATAAAGTTCTTTTAGAAAAGCAGAAACAAGCCAAAAGAAGTCGGTCGAACATACTGGAAGAAGTCATCAAACGGACACTTAGACATAGCCAAACATGGGCTAAAACTTAGAGCCACACAACGGGGGGGTTCTTTTAAAATTGGCCAGATCAAAAGGGTCAAATACAACTTTGACTTTTCCACTATTGAATATTTCACAATTGGCCTAATGGTGTTCAAAAGATAAAAATGCCCTTAAGTGAATAAAACAATTTCAAAATATGATTTTATTAAAAAGAAAATACTACCCTTTTACTTAACTAATAAAACCATACACCCCCTGC